TAGGTAGGTGTGTTTTGCAAAACTTAAGTATTTAATTTGTTCAGGTGAAAGTAGTATACCTGTAGCTTAACACAGGGAGCATGTTTCCTTTCTTTAGAAGGAAATCCTACTGAAGGAAACACAACTTTTAATATAAGCAGTTTAAGAAGGTCTTCAGTGAAGTATCCTTATAAGCTCTGTCTCAAAATATGTGAAAATCTAAATGCAGATACAAAAAGAACAAGGAAAGCTGCAACAAAGAAAATGGAACTACACAGATTAGATGGCTTTAAATTAAGACTTGAAAACAGGTGTTAGAGCCAGCAAGATGAAAGAGACATGAAAAAAAACTATAGGTGCAAAACGGGGTGTTCTTGCATGTAGGACTGGACAACTTGGTAAAGGCCAAAGAAGGCAAGAAAGCAGAAATACACATTAGCAAAAGTAATAAAGATGCATCTGAAAGATTTGAGTCAAGAAGGTGGCTTGACTGAACGTGAAATAGAATGGACTAGAAGATTAAAAGAAGCAATGTTGTCTTTCAAAAGGTTTGTATGACTGGGAGTTTAAAGAGGAATTCTCAGGTATACCTCTAGCTACCGGAGAATGTATTAATGCAGAGTTCACTCAACCCAGATCTGCCTTGCAAACAAGTCGGCTGCAGCATATTAACAAGCTCCTTTCCTTATATAAAGGCAGCTTTTATTGGTAACCAAGTATGTCTTACAAGACGTTCTTTAGGGGACGGGGTGGGAGGGAGGCTGGTAAAAGCACCTCTGTAGCACTGGACTTTCTGTACTTACAATTGCTGTGTAACTGGAGATTTTTTGTAATAGTTTCTCATTTTGTCCAGGTTGTGAATATGACTGATTTGATGTGGGATGGGCATGGAAAGAAAATTAAAAGATAAAGAAAAATTATTTTTCTGTCTTTACTTGTAAGAAAGTTGCAAATAACTGATGATTATTAGAGATCCTCTTACAACATGGATAAAAATGATCATAGCTTCCCATTTTTAGATATTCTGTAAAGAAAGAACTTATTTAGGAAAGCAAGGCATAAAAACTGTCTGAGCAGGCCAGCATTTTTAGGCTGATAGCCCTTTGGTTGGGCACATAGACAGTTACAGAAATTTTTTTGTGTCTGTCCTACTACTAACACAAGCGGTACTTCCGTACAAAGGCTTCCTGGCCTCCTGAAGACACTGTGTCTAAGAACCTCAAACAGTTGAAAACAGCATTGATATTCTGGGTAAATTCAACTGGTTCACAGGGAACCCTGGCCACATCCCAGTCTTACAGCCAGAGAACGGGGAATGCCTTGCTTGGAAAACTGACAATCAGCAGCACCGCACAGGGAGGTTTGGAAGGAAACAGAAATGCAGATGACCCAGTATCAGTTCCATTCATTTCCTTGGTAGGGGATTTACTATTTTTGCTGCTTTAGCTTATGCCGGTTCTCCAAGTGCAGTAAGTTATACAGTGAACACTGTTTTATGCCAGTATAAGCATATTTATGTTTGGGCTTCTGCCACAGAAACTTTTCAAAAGGAAATCAGATCTCATGTTCCTGTGCAGGCATAAGTTTCTCTTGGCTTAAGCTTATGAAAAATACGTACAGTTGCATACTGTCCATTAAAAAAAAATGAGTGAAGTTTGAAACAAGGTGACTGAAGACTAAGTATAAATCCAAAGAGAAAAAATTGGAAAGTGAAATCTGTAGGTTTCTAGGACAAAATATCTGAGTTTGGAGAAGAAATTTGACCCGAGCCTCATCTATATATATATGAGTGCATATGTATATGAGGCTTATACATATATGAATGCATATGCATTTTTTCATGTGCTTGTTAAGACATTTGTTTTGATGTTGTCATATATTTATTATTAATCTTATTTTCTTTAAAGCAGTCTGGCATGTGAAATGTATGTATATCCATGACTTAGCTAAAAATTAATTTAAACAGTTTGTATATCAGCAGTAGAATTAGAAGTTCAAATATTTTTGCATAAGGATTTTGCATAAGGACTGAGGAAATAATTCTAAGAATCCTAGTTTGTGTGGAGTCTTTGAGTTTTATATTTTAATTTCCTAAAATGTTTTTCGTCTGGTTTTCGGGGTTTTTTTTTTTTTTTTTTGGGTTGCTTTCTCAAAGAGCTGGCTGGGTAACTGGCAACTGCAAACCTAAGGGTAGGCTGCATAGTTCTTCTTCCAAATCCTTCCTTTCATGTTTAGCCAAGTGAGAGACACAGAGTGAAATGTAAACTCCGGCTCAGTATATCCTCATGGCCTTCTCTCCTGGTGAGCAGCCTGCGGGGCAGAAGGGGGGCTGAAGCCACCCAGGGATGCTAACCGCAGCGGCCTGGGAGACGCCGGCAGTGAGCTGCTGCTGCCAGGTTGCTCGGAGGAGGAATGTGAAGATGGTGCTCGAGGGCCCTTGATACTGAACCCCTGAGACGGTGCTCCTCATCCCACTGCTCCTTCTCATTCCATCCTCCCCCGGGACAGAAGGAAAAGGTATTCGCTTTCCTTCCATTTAACTGTTTCCCTTTAATTCCCAGCAGTCTGAGAAGTAAGTTTGTGTTGTGTTTGAAATTACAGACTGGAACCATCTTTATTTAGTTTGATTTAATTTTTCATTTTTATTTTATTTTCAAGCTTTGCAGAAACTCAACCTATATACTGGAAAGGAACTTCCTATGAAATATAAACAGGTGTTTGTACATTCAAGTGAAGGTTGTTTGAGGAGGCTTTTTGATAAACCATGTCAATGCAGTATCAAGGTCTAACAATTAAATAATGACTAATTGATGAGTTTGACCACATTGACATGATCTGCTATGCTGACACTCCTGGTTTGTTTTGTTTTTTAAAAAGATATTTTTTTCCAACTGTATTTTATACTTGCAACTAATCTTTAAGTTACTCCTCAGTACAGGGACATAGAAAACTTTCTCATGGGACAAAAGGGTGATTCCCAGAACTCCAGCTATTTCCTCCAGTGCTAGGGAGAGGCATATGTCTTATAGTAGCCATAATTGCTTGGGGCCTTTTTTCTGCCAAGTAATTCTTTGGCTCCTGATCACTGAAGGTCTGTAAGTTTGGTTTTTTTTTGTGAGTTTGTTGTTTGGGCAGAAATGAAAATGTGAGCAGCACCCCTCTCTTGTGTAGAGATGTGTTTCTTTTTGCTTCCAACCATCCCTTTCCATTTCTCTCTGTGCTCATCTTTACTACATTTATACTGCCTGCTCCTTTGTTCTGTCTGTTCTGCAAAGAGCATGTAGGACTAAAAAATACATACAGTATTTTTTTCAAAGAGCATGTAGGACTAAAAAATACATACAGTATTTTTTTCATTCTTCTGTTGTGGCCATGAATTTTCCCCTCAATCAGTTGGGGCCCACAAATTCTCTAGTTGATGTTTTATAGTCTTTTTCCCTATCCAGGTTTATGCAGAGTATGCTTAGTGGTGTACCTTCTGCACTGATGCAGTGAAGTGTGAAGAAAAATATTGTTTGTATCAGCCTGAAGATCACAAGGTTTTGTGAACATGTGCTAATATAACAGTTTTAGTGACCATCACAGATACAATAGAATGAACTGTGATTTTCCTGTACTCATCTATATCTATGCATATACATACTGTGTTCTTTAGACTGTTATAGAAATAAAATTATTAAATAAGCTAATCTTTAAGATGTTATTTAGCTATTCATGAAATTATTAATCTGTTTATAAAATCATACACAGAAATTAAAGACATTCAAACAAACTGGATTATATTGAAAGACAAAATTTTAACTGTTAAATGTGAAATAAATTACCAAGTACTCTGTCTTCTGACTGAGACAAACTTGAAGTGGTAATTCCTTCTGAGAATTTCCTGGCATTGTGTGTGATATTGCAAGTGCAATTCCAGTTTACAATCTGAGCTGGTAGAAGATTTGAGAGTCTACCATGGGGATGGCAGTAAAGATGTGAAAGACGCTACTCTAGTTGACTATAAATGCTGTCTTTGCCATGGAAATACTGTCTTAGTAATGCAGGTTACTGCTGTTTACAACATGAAGCAGGTGAGCTCCCCTCTAGATATGAAAAGTTGGAGGGAAAGAGTTTTGAAGGCAGTAGCCCTACTAGAGTCATAGAGTTTTGTGGCTCACTCTTGTAAAATGTGGAGGTACAGACTGAGCAATTAAAAGTAATACGTGCAGTGTATATAAGGAAGTATGACACACTATTATGTGGTAATCCTTCTGACATGCATTCAAGAGCTGCACCAATGACCTGTAGTTTTCAGATATTGCAGAGGAATCAAGGGAAGAAAACCCAAGGAACAAGGAAACACACTTTCAACAGTTCCCCCTCTTCTTTCCCTCCCCCCCCCCCAGTAATTCTTTTCAGTTGTGCTTTTAAATAAATGATTAAATTAAAAGGGTTGTTCCAGGATGAAATATCTCACCCTTAATAAAGTGAGATTTCTTTTCAAGCTGGAAAACACCTCCCTGATGCCCTCATCCTTAGCATTCTGTGCTTGCAAAATAGGTAAAGTGAGGAGAATATTAAGAAAGTCAGGCAGAAAACATGCCTGAAAGGTCTTACAGCAAATTTGTTATTCCAGTGCTGTATTGTCTTGCAGCATTTTTCTGACAGGTATCTCAAGGAGTCAGGATGCTTTTGAGTTTGGATTTTTGTTTGTTGGTGTGTTGTTTTTTTTTAATGCTTAAGCTTAGTGAATTAGTACACAAGGGTTAAAGTATTATGGATTCCTGCTTCTCTTGCAACACTGTAGCATTATTGGAAATAATAAAGTTTAGGGGCATGTTAAGACTGGATAGAACTGAAGCTCTTCCTACACAATTGGAGAAAATCAGTAGAATCATTGCAATAAAATAATTTTACTGTGTATAATTTTACTTTGCAATTTTATGGTTTCATTCGTAGTCTCTCACAGAATGTGATACAAATTGTATTTGGTAATACTCATCTAGTTGTAGTGATTTTATTTTTATTTTTCTTTTCAGGGTGTACCTCAGTTACCATGTGCCAAAGCATTGTATAACTACGAGGGAAAAGAACCTGGAGATCTTAAATTCAGTAAAGGAGACATCATCATTTTGCGTCGACAGGTGGATGAAAATTGGTATCATGGAGAAGTCAATGGTATCCATGGCTTTTTTCCTACCAATTTTGTTCAGATTATTAAACCTTTACCTCAGCCTCCGCCTCAGTGCAAAGCACTTTATGACTTCGAAGTAAAAGACAAGGAAGCAGATAAAGACTGTTTACCATTTGCAAAGGTAAAAACAGAATAAAATTATTTTCTTTCGATAATGTCACACACTTGGATAAGAACAATTAAGACTGTTCTGTGGTCTTGTCTGTATGTTTTTTAGTGGAGCTGCACATATTCAAAAAGGTAATTCTGCAGGTATTTCTTTTATGTTGATTAGTTTTGCCCTGCTTCTCTTCCTAAATTACATATAATTCATCTCAGGTTTTATTTTTGAGAATGCAGGTTTTCATAATTGCAGTAGTAATGTTCTTAATTTATGAGAAATAAGCTATGTTATGAATAAAGTGTTCCATCTTCTAAAGAAACTCATTTTAAATTGAAGTTGGTACTACTTTCAGCTTTGCATTTAGTAAGTGACATCTAGATACTAGACAAAAAGTACTACTCAGCTTTGGCATTCTATAATATTACTAATTGCCGTTTGGAAAATACGATGTTTCCAATGTTATTTCTATTGTAATTAATTTTCTGTCATGCAGAGCATGTAATGATACAGAGTTTTAATAGGAAGTAGAGCTGTTAATCACTTTCTGATTCTCCAGTTTATCAAATTGGACAAGAATCTCACAAGAACAAATGCAAACTAATTGCTTCTCTACCAGTCGATGCCTATTGAAAATGAAAAGGACGGCTACAATTCTAAAAGCGATATTAACATTTGGACAGGCAATGGTTATCACAGCACAAAACATCAATACTGTTGGGGATGATTGGCATTAGCTTGCATATTTTGATTAACTTGTTGGCAAACTTGGTTACTGTTAGTTTGGTTTTTGGGTTTGTTTTTGTTTGTTTTAAATCCCCAGTGCTGCTTGAGTAAGCATATGTTTCCAAATATTTTAACTTGCATATGAAGCAATTATGTATCTCCAGTATAAGCAAGAGCAACGTTTAATGTGTACATAAATCCTGTCTTTATGTAATGTTCTCAAAACCATATCTAGTCCAAATGCTCCATGTAATTGTGAAAGAAATTGTATCATTTACCAGTGTTCTTAAGTACTTAAGTAGAAAGGCAATTGTCTAGGGAAGTTTAGGTAATGAGTCAGTTGATAAGGAAAAAGATTGTGGTTCTGTTGATTAATGCCAAGGACTTAAAAGAGGGCTGATGAATACCATGGACTGAACATAGCAGGAAGTCTGGCACTAAGCATGAAGTCAGATGGCTGAGATGAGCTGTGGACAGTTAGCTGAACTCTGACAAAATAGGGAAAAGAACGGCTGGAACTGACTTCAACCCCAAAAGTGTTCCTGTTACAGAGTGCCTTCTCTGTGTTCTTGTCCTTGCACTGCCTTCTCTGATTGCTCGTGCGTTATGGAGGGAAATGAAATTAGAAGCGTAATTAGATCTGGGAGACATAATCACTGCATGTTCACACAGGATGATGTTCTGACTGTAATTCGCCGTGTGGATGAAAACTGGGCAGAAGGAATGCTGGCTGACAAGATAGGAATATTTCCAATTTCATATGTTGAGGTGAGTGAAGTTGAGTACTTGGTAAGGTTGTGCCCAGTGTGTATTTTATTTTCTAAAAATAAAAATAATCGGTACTCCTGATGGTTGTAAAATAACCTGAGATATAAATACCAGACCTAAAATAATTTAAGGTCTGTGTGCTTAGTTTGGGAAAGTTAATGACCTCAGCAGTTGAACAAGTGATTTTTACTTAGCTGTTTGATACCTGTTTTCATTGAATGGAATTGGAATGAGAGTATTTGGAGGCAGTCACTGTGTTTTCTTGTTAATAGTGGAGTCGTGCAGTCAATCACAAACCACACTTAAACACAAAATGAAAGCAATCAGCCAGTCAGAGAAATAAAATAGTAGGCTTTGCACTGTCCCTAATACCTGCCTCTCAAAACCAAATTAGCACAGCTAGGAAGTCAAAGAACAGGCTGTTAGTAAGCAGGAAAAGCATTGATTTCCACATCCAACAGACCCTTATTTTAAACATTCTGTATCTTCCTGCGTTTCTCATATATGATATGACAAATTTACAGAAGTAGCAGCTGAGAAAGTTTCCCTAGCCGTTTAAGGTTTAGAGTTGAAAGCTGTATTTTCTATGTAGGAAGACATAGGTCATTAAGAACTCTGTTTACAGCTGCAGCAATGATTATTAAAATTTACATTATGGAAAGATACAGAAGTTTGGAATAGTATTTATCTTTTTCTGATAGGTACCTTACCAAGTATGTGCTATGGATACTGGGTAAGATGCACTTCTTGCACTGACAAGATTTTATTTAAATGAGTGAGGCAGAATGCTGAAAGAAAAAAGTATTTTTCTATAACCTGTGGGATGGGAAATATGTACCTCAGGTCACAGAAGAAATGTGTAACCATACTAAGAATAAAGTGAGGTTTTTGAGTTGGATTTCTGAATGAGATGGGAACCATTTAAAAAATGACTCTGTTCAACCAACATAGAATTTATTCTTCTTAAAAGGGAAAGTATGTATATGCATTCTTATAGGTTGGTGTAAGGACCTGTACATCTGGGGATAGGAAACGTTAAATGATTGGAAAAAAAAAACAAAACAGCAAAACCAAAAGGGTTTCAACCTCCTTAGTGCAGTTCCGGCTTCAGTTTAAGAAGCTTTTAAAAGCCAATTTACAAAGTTCTTTCCCCTGGCTATTCACTCCTAGCTCCTTGCAATTACCTGCCCCTTCAGCCAGTAAAGCTTTTTAAAACTGTATCACTTAACTTAGCCAAATTAGAAAAAGCCCTTTCCTAGGGCTGCCACTTTGGCTAACTAACTCACAGCTCCTTTTCCATCTCTACAAAAGTTTGCAAGATAGAGATATACTCTTGAAAAAAAAAATATGTAAAAGTAGTAGTCACAAAATACATTCCACTGTTAATGTTTTCAAATTCCATCAACTATGAAAATGTATTTTCAGTTAACCCTTTTAGAGTGAGGACTTGTGTACACACACGCAAATCCCCACTAAAATGATATGGGAAATCTAGAATGATAGATAATACCCAAAGAGATACTACAGATCAGGTAGGTGGGTTTTTCTTCAGTATATACTAAACTGAAACACATGCTGTGGTGAAGAGCAGTGAGATATGCAGAAAACTGAAAACTCTCAAATTTGAATTTTGAAAAACCTGTTTTCTGAGATTATATAACTGTTGTTCTGGAAAATATACAGACAGCTGATACAACCAAGTATATCAAACCATTCTTGGCTATGTTATTATTAAAGACACTGAAGATGAGAAGCAATAAATATTTTTGAGTATTTTTAATCTGGCATTTTTAGTTGTATTTTGCTGTATTTAGTTGTAATCATAACCTATTTTTTGACACTGCCTTGTTAGTCCACATCTTTTGTTTTTTATTGGTTTTGGTTTTGTTTTTTTTAATGTGAATTACTAGCTGCATTTATTGATAAAATCTGAGATATGTTGAAGACCATGAAAAACACTGAATCTGTCTGAGTATAGTTGAGGACAACTTTTTACCTGGAGGAACATTTTATGATTCAGTGTTCCCTAGTCTGCTCTATTCTTTTACATTACTTTCTTAATAAATTTGTAGCAATAATAAAAGCTAAGACCAAAAACATTCTTAGAGAATTTTTAATAGTGATTCTGTTGAAAGTGTAATTTAACTGACTCACAAAACATTCCATCTTTATCCGTAGACACATAGCACTGTGAAATAGTTACTTCTATCTGCAAATGAAAAATACATAATGCATACATTGCAAAAAATTCAATTTTCTAAGAAGTGCTAAAACCAAGCAAACCCTCTAGTTTTACTAGAGTAAGACCTAATTAACATATCTAAATTACTAGACTTTTAACTGATGGAATTTCAACACACTTGCATTAAAAGCTGGTCGACCAGATTCTTGTGCAGGGATGAAATCAAATGCAGTGAGTCTAGAAAGTGTATAGTGAAGTTTATAAAACTTATGTTTATCTCCATTCCAAAAAGAAAGATTAATCAGAACTAAAGAGATACTACTATTTTTCTGTGTAGAGTACAGTTATGGCTATAATACACATTTGTTGGAAAACTTTGAAATTTTGCTGTGGTTTAACACTTAGTAAACACACTCCAAATCTAAAAAGTATTTAAATTTTTACAAGTTATTCAGCACTCATACAGAACAACTAGAAAAACATTAATGTCCTGAATAGAAAAAGAAAAATCGGGGAAAAGAAATCACTTTAAATCAAAATGTCAGTAGAAAATAATGACAGCTTTTTTTTTTACCCAAGTTGGCATGAACAACTGGGAAATACCCTTGTATTAATCCAGCTCCTCTAGCTTTATTTATAAACAATCTAATAGAAATATAGGGGAGGAGGAATTCACTACAGTGAATATTTCGATTTTTTTTTTTAAAGTTCGTTGTCACTTTATACAACTCCATCCATTAGTTAAGAGGACATTTTAATCAATGAGAACATAAGATTTTATGTACTTAGTGTGTCAGGTTTAGTTTTTTTATTAGAATCTCCTCTTGTTCTAGACAGGAGTGTTTCAAAACATACTTGTCAGTTAAGGACAAAATTTGCCTTAGTTCCACTTACAGACTTTACTCCTTTGTTTCCAAGTATATGTGAAAGTGAAATGTTGTCCAGAAATTGGAATTTTGACTAATAATAGTGTTGGTAATGTGTAAAAAATAACTCCTTGACCTATGGTGATGTAGTAAAATAGCATAAATAAAAACTTCGGATGAACATGGATGGAAAGACCATTTGAGGGAGAAGATGGTGTTTTCACTTCTTTTCAGAAAGTGATGATATTTGAATTCTAACTATCTACATGTGAGTGAAGAAAAGCTGATTTGTAAACTAAATACAGTAATTCATAAGAGATTTTAAAATAGGTCTTGCATGGTAGTCTACTTGATAATTTCTCCAGATGGCTGCAAGCAGGCAGAAACCTATCTGCTAGCCTCAACTCCTACCGCAGCACTGACACACGGCTTGGTCTTGGCCCTATTTGGAAAGTTGTGTTTCCTGGGTTTTTGTGGTAAGGGGCATTGGATTTCAGGCTACCTGTTACAGCAAAAATTTTGTTGAATGAAAAAAGATAAATGTGATTATAAAAGTTAAAGAAGTTTCTGATCAAATACATCTGTGCAGGAAAACAACTGACATAGAAAATGTGGGAGCAGACACAGGATGTCTGCAGAAAGGAATGCTGTCTTGAAACACGTCATAGCATGAGTGGGATGCATCCCCATGGTGATTTTGAATGGTTGCTAGCCATTTCATTGGAGAACGCATGCAAGTTCCTCTTTTCTCAAGGAAGAAGTAAACTGCACCTTGCAGAATATTCTGCAACTGTTGCTGGCTTCAGGTTACTTCTAGAAGGCCAGTTATCAGTTCAGTTCCATGTTTAGTTTCATGCTGCTGCCCTGTGCTTGCTTCTCTTCATAAAAAAGCTCAGTACATTGCTTATAATTATATCAGACAAAACAATCCCATGGGCAAGCCTTAACTTTTCTCTAACAGGTTGCTCACTCTATAGAATACTCAGATTCTGCAGGCATTAACAGCTTCAGGAGATAAACAAACGTAATTAGGTGTAGCAGGTACCTTGGGGTGCTTTTAGCAGAGTGGCTTTTGGTTTTGTTTTTTATTCCTGTTATCTTTTTTGATCCGTTAACTTTTTCGATCAGGTATTCTTGTTTTAGGAATGAGTACTGCTTTTCTTTCTCTGGTCTGTGTGCAATTTGTGAACAGGCTCTTTGGAAAATAAAAGGGTAGGTTAGATATGCATAGAAGTGGTTGCAGCCACTGAAGAAGATATAATGGAAGACACGGATTCTCAGGAAGGACAGGAAGAATTTTGATTTGAGGTGCAAAAAATAAAATGTACAACATGCATAAAGTGATTATTCTTTGAAAAGTGTGTGCTTTCTTCCATGATGAGAGATAGGACCCTAACAGATTGGGTAGCAGAGAAAGCTTTTTTTGGTCCTATTTTCTACTTGTTTCAATATACTTCTCCGGACTCCTGTCAGTGATCTGTGATAAAATTACATTGTTTTCACTGGTCTGTTAAAGGTATGTTTGCTCTACATTTAAAATTTAATGAATAAAAAGTAATTACCTCAGCAATGAGCTTACAGGTTAATTGGAGAAAGCTGTATGGTTATGTCTTCTGTAGTACACAAGTAGTAAAAAATCATTTTGTCTGTATGATCCATGTACAGTATTAGCAGGAAGGAAAATCTAGTGTCTACCTTTTTCTTTTATTTTATTTCATGTTTCCTACTGTGACACTGTCTTCTGCCCTTCCTGTTCTCTTCATCTGCCTTCTAAAGGACCAAAATAGGAACATTTAGGAAAAAACCCTAGGTTCTCATCTTCGTACCCTTTTCCAAATCCCACATTATGCCATTCTTCCACTGCAGTATATTCTGAGTAGTTCTGATTCTTCAAGCATTTCACAGTTTTCCTCTCTTACATCCTAGTAGGTTTTTACGTCAGCGCTTCATTGTTCTGGTAGTTTCAGCTTTGAACTTTGTTTCTTCTGAATATGCATGGAATTTCCTTCTGGGTCTCATCTTTCAAATGCCTTTGGAAACCTTTTCTATATTAAAAAAATATGAATAAATACATTCCTTATTCTTTTGTACCACTTCATATATAGCTACTTGTCCTCAAATATAAAAGGAAGAGTTCAGGGTATAAGCTGTTCTCATTTGTGGGAGCTGCATTTAAATCAGTGTCGATGATATCATGATTAATGATATCTTATTTGTCTAGTAAAGTTATGACGGGGTAAAATGCTACTTTAAAACTCTTCATAAACGTAGATATTTTAATACTTGTGTGAAAAGGGATAAAATAAATACAAGAAATAATACAGTGAAGAATAGAAGTAGTACTTCCATGGTAACTAATTTCATTCTTTCATCTTGATGTTCTTCACAGAAGATTTTTCGCTTGTTCATAATTGGCTACACTTATCCAAGTAACCGTATTCATATTTAGTGGTACATATTAATATTAGTTAACTTGTTCAGCAAACTGGTGCTGATGCTACTTCAGCTCATGAATAAATGAGAGTTCTGACATTATTACTTCCAGTAGGTCAAAAATATAAAAAATATTTTGTGGAAATAAAGGGTTTGTGAAAAATGTAATTTAGTAATGACCGATTTGTAGAGTAGGGCAGTATGTCACAGTTTTAAGTTGCATGGTTTAAATTTTGTTATGAATAAAAAGAAATAGATATTTCTGTTATACTCAGGTGTTTTTTATAAATAAAAAAAAATACTAATGTGTGGCTTTCTTTTGTAGTTTAACACAGCAGCCAAACAGCTCATAGAATTGGATAAGCCCTCAGGTTCTGCTGTTGACTTTGGGGAAGGTACCTCTGGGGCAGCCCACAATTCAACCCAAAAGCACACTGATACCAAGAAAAACACCAAAAAACGTCACTCTTTTACCTCCCTCACTATGTCCAACAAGTCTTCACAGTCTTCTCAGAATCGCCACTCAATGGAAATTAGTCCTCCTGTCCTCATCAGCTCCAGCAACCCAACTGCTGCAGCCCGCATAAGTGAGCTGACAGGACTTTCCTGTAGTGCCCCTTCTCAGGTAATTTACATGAAATCAAACATAAATCATGTGTGCATGTTCTTTTAATAACTGTGAAGGCTTCTGATCTTGTCCAGCTACTCAAATTATTACTTGTATGTAATTGACATTAATGTACGTTTTCAACAAGTTTATCTTCCAGCATGAAAGCATTGAAGGCAAGTGTTTTATAACGCTTCTTATACAATAATAGCAAGTATTTTTGGTCTTGTAAGCTAATTTTTTTCACAGTTGTTAATTTCATAAGTGCCACAAAGGTTTTTATAAAGCTGTGGAAACTAGAAACTGGAGTGATTTAAGTGCTTAGTTTTTTTTTCTAGACTTAATATAATACTAGGTATTAATAAATAAATGCAAGTAAAAGCTAAGTTCAACTTGAAAATTACATGACTTCTAGGAATGTACCATATTAATCTGATTGTGATAGATAGAAACATTTATCTGACTATTTATTGTTAATCTCCTCAAAGCTTTTAGTTACAAGCTACAATGGTTCATGAGCAATTGTCTGTTTCACAGAGAGATTACATTTCAGGAGAAGAGGTAGTAATGCAGACTTTGAAGTGTTGGTGTCATTTTATATGAGCTGGTAATATATTTTATTTTCATGTCTTTGGGATCTGACAGCCTTTTATGGAAAAAAATGAAAACCAACGTTGATAAAAGTGTGTTTTCCATGGCTAGTTCAATGTATTTCCAAAGTTTCTGAAACATGGGGGTGGGGAGGGGAAGGCGAGCAGTGTGATCTAGTACTGTTCGTATCAATAACAAAACATTGGTTCTAAAGTTACAGATCAGTACTGGTGTTTCTGACCATGAAGCATACAGCTGTGCCAAAACCGGCTTTTATGAAACTACTCAGAACTGACCCTGCTGGGTGTTTTTTTCTTTGACAGGTTCATATTGGTACTACGGGGCTAATTGTGACTCCTCCTCCTAGCAGCCCAGTCACAACAGGGCCTTCATTTACCTTCCCTTCAGAAGTTACCTACCAAGCTGCTCTTGGTGTAAGTACTACTCAAGAAAACAGCCTTCCCATTGATTTTTGGTCTGTACAGTCTTTTTTTTTGTCTTGAGTTCCGATCCATTGATTTAAAATAATTGTACAATGATGGTTTATGTGACAGACAATGGTATATATTGAACTGCAGCAAAAGCATTATTGATACAATAATGTTTGCATCCTGTCATGCATATCCATTTCTCCAGTTTTCCTCTGTCATTTTCCTGTAGTAAACACAGGAAGCACACTTTCTTCCAGAAAAGTGTTTCTTTTCAACAGGAGTAGGAAAGAAGTTATGCTGGGGGGAAGATTAGGAGAAACAAGCAAGATCTTATAAAAATACATCAACTGGAGACTACAGTTGCCAGATATTTGTCTTACTTAATATTACCAATATTCTCCTAAATAAGTTTCAAAACTCTGCTTTCTCCTCATTAGGATGACTTTAGTTGTGTGTATGCCTGTGGCAGATGAAGAACTCATCTTAGGTTCTTGGAGATCAATATGAAAAACTGTTGCAAATGGCCATCTTTTAAAGGAAGGAACTTTTAAAGGAAGGAATACATTGCAGTGCTCTTCCCTTTGGACAAAGAAAATAACATCTTCAAAAAAGTGCAGGATTTCATTTTAAAAACAACTGAAAATTCTTTTTCTTAAAGCTTTGTTTGTGGTAGGGGAGCTCTGGAATGCCCTAAATCATATGGCACTTATGAGAGCATCAGCTTAACTGCAGGTAAAGATTGTGGATACCAGTTTTCAGAGATTTTCAAGGGAACTTTATGAGCCTTTATTTTGATCATAGGAATTCTTGATATCCAGTTCTTGTTTTGAGTCCAAAAAATGTGCCTCTAACACTGGGGGTGGGGGAAGGAGGGGACACGCAGTTGAATAATAAATCTCTACTTAAACAAACCAACCAAACACGACAACAAAAAAAACTTAAAAAAAACTCAGCCCCCCCCCCCCCCCCCCCCCAAAAGTACACAACCCAAACAAAAACCTCCAAGACTTGAGCTTGTTTAGGTGTCTAATTATCCTTGCAGTCTTTAAAGCAAGTAAAAAATAATGAATAGTTTCGCTTCTAAATGTGGTTGGTTTTGTTTTCAACTTTTGTCGCTTGGATCATTGTATACATTTGTCTGCAAAATCAAGGGCAGAATTGTCTGTGTTCTACTATCAACTTTTTGTTGTTTAAGTAAATCCTTAGTTGTGGCTTGGTTGCAGCTGAGAGGTTACATTCTGACAGCTTTCTTTGGGACTCGTAAGTTATGTTTTCTCAGTCCTTAAAATTATGATGCTGTTATTCTCTGAATTATCTCTAGTTCTTCCTTCTGGCATGGTAAGTGCATTCCAGAACTGGGTGCAGTGCTGCATGGTCTTTTTCAGTGATGAAGTGTTGATAGTATGACCCTTTTACTTTTATCCTGTTATTCTGATGTTTAGATCTTGAGAATTTGCATCCATTCATTTGGCCTGAGTGTAGCAAAAGTTTACGTTCAGCCAAATATCCATTATGATCCCACAAATTTTCATTGTCATTAGTGATGTACTAATTGCTCCCATCCAAGTAAATGTTATTTCACAATCCTTGTTCTTCAGACAGATGACCTTATTATTGACAGTTATACAGACAGTATGCTTTTGCCCTCCCTTACTGAGTAACACGGGTTGTGCTGTAGCAATTCAGTGGCCTTTTATTGTTAACAACTCCTTCAGTATGTGGATCATCTGTGCAAACTGAATGCTATGGAACCAATTAATGGAACCAATTAATAATCTCCTTATATTTAGATGCATATTTTAATGACCCAGAGCAGGAAGGGACCACTGGTGGTCATCTAGTCTGCTCAAGCACGGACACCTAGAACCAGTTGCCCTGGATGGTATACAGACAGCTTTTGAGTATCTCCAGGGATGGAAACTGCACAACCTCTCTGGACAACCTGTGCCAGTGCTCACTCACCTTCACAGTTTACTGATTTTCAGACTGAATCTCCTGTGTTTCAGTTTGTGTTTCACTGAGTACCCCTGAAAAGACCATAGCTCCGTCATCTTTGTCTCTTCCCTTAGGTACTACACTGATGAGATTCCCCTGAGCCTTTTCTAGGCTGAACAGTCCTAGCTCTCTCAGCCTTTTCTCATAAGAGAGATGCTCTAGTCCTTTGATAGTGGCTCTTCACTGGACTCTCCTTTATGTCTGTGTCTCTTGTACTGGGGAGCCCAGAACTGGACACAGTACTCCAGGTTTGGCCTCATCAGTGCTGAGGAAAGGAGAAGGTTTGATCTCCTTTGACCTCCTGGCAAGACTCCTCCTAATGAAGCCCAGGATACCATTACCCCTTTTTGCCATAAGAGCACATTACCGGCTCATGCTCAACTTGCTGCCTACCAGGAAGGACCTTCAAGTATTTTTTACTGGGATATGAGGTGCACATCTACTGCTAGAAACAATGAGCTGGTTATATGCTAATCCATGTAATCTTTTATACTTCTTTTATCCAGTCCTTCAGAAGGTACCTGTGAGAACTGACCAAACAAAATCAGTCTTGGCATATTTTGTGCTCTTAGGCAGAATAAAAGTCTAGCTAACGTATATGCTGCGAGCATTGAGCAATTGATTTGATTTGTGGCTGAGAGACATTTTGGAGATGATGGGGTGGGCAGGATTCAAAGCATCATTTCAGAAGTTCTGACAGAAGTTGCCTTTTTTTTTCTCAGTAACAAACACTTTTGGTATCAAGAATCAATAGTTCCTTTGATGCCAACGTGGAAACACGCTTTATTTTGGTGCTGGTGCAAAGTCATTAAACCATCTCGGGTGTTTTAATTGCATAAGCTTGTTCAAAAGCGCTCTCACCATTGGTCCCCACAGGAATTAAATTACAGCACTAAATGCACCATGGAGTGAAACTCCTGCCACATGATCGTTCTGTATCCTGGAGTGCTGCTTTCCTTTTGTGATAACCATGTTCCTGGTTATGTTTCCAATTAGGCATATAATTCCCATTGAGAATCTGAATTATTCTCTGCCACCCTCTTTAAAAGCCAGTAACCTTCCGTACATAATGTTCTGTTTCTTCTTGACTTGTTTTCAACATGACTAAAATACAAGCTGGCAGCTCAGGCTAGAGTCAGGTCGTTCTTGTGTACTTTTACTGTAGATGGTATTAAATGATGCAGTTTATAGTCACAAGCTGTGAAGTGTGTCTTTTAAGTCCACTTTTCCTCTTGCTTCATGAACTCTTGTTTTAATTTTAGAAACGTGCAAAATGGTTCTGACAGGTCAAGAGAAGAAGTCATGTTCTTATTTCTAGATGTTCAGCTTCTGGAAATACCCTCCCTGACATTCTGAGCATTAATTTTAAGCCATGGAGCAGTTGTGGTTGTATGATTTAATACATCAGAAGTGGTTGGCTTCAGACTGTTTGCTTTTATAGTTTTTGCTTTTATAAGTGTAAATTCCTGCATTTCTCTAAGCTTTTCAATTTTGGCTTTTACTTCATTTCTGAATACTAAGTAAATGACAAGGAAGTTGGATTGGCACAGGGAGGGTTTCTCTTTAGCATGAAGATGATTTAATTGGATCTTCTTCCTGGCAATCATTTTGGTACTTATAACACTATTTAAAGTAATAATTGATTATTCTTTGAGAGCAAGCCATTTACACAAGTTCTTTTACTTCTTTGCCAAACTATGATTAAGGGAGAATGAGGAAAACAGAGAGGATGAGCATGATTCCTCATCAGTGAAGAAGAGAAGGATATGTTCCTTTGTGGTAGTCCTGAATTTATGCAGCTTTGCTACATTTATATGTCCTGAATCTAGAAGGAAAGGAGAGTTAGTTTCTTCTCTTATCTTCTGTAAGAAAGACTGCTTTTTTTATTGTTAAGAGGAAATATTTTGAGCTGTCTTGTTGGGTAGCAAGTTTCTCTAAGACAGTTGAGATGAATTCCTAGAGGAGCCTGTGATTCATCTGTGTACATGTTTAGGATCACATTTTAGTTTTACATTGTTATTTTGGGAAATACTATGGTGGTTCAATAAATGCCAATTTTATTTTGTCCATAATAATGTTTTGTAGATGCTATTTGGTATCGAAAGTTTTATGAAGTAATTTACAGATTTGCAGCCAAAATCTACACAAATAAGACTTAGGAATAAGACTGTTTTTGTCAAGTTACCTTCTACGCCGTCTGCTTCATGTATCATTTAAACAAATTTGCATTCAGAAAACCTGTGATAAAGTTTTCTTTTACAGCAGCAGTTCTTTCGCCAGCAGCATTAATTCTTGGTTTGTGTTTTGAGGTTTGATCCTTTGAAATTAAAGAAGCTATGAACTGAGACAAACTTCTCACAGCTGAGGCTTTTGACTGTGATATTATCAGTTACACTTCTCTCTGAGACTTCAAACCACAACTTTGCCCTTTAAAGGGGTATTAATTGGTCTGCTCTTCTTGGCTGCTAGCATTTTTGAACCTTGTAGATACTTAGTCTATTTGGAGTTCTTTATAAAATATAAATAGCAGATGTCAAGTTCAGTAGTTGTTGGGTGAAAATATGCATGTATAATTAGGTAAAGTTCATTTATTTGGGAGGAAATTCTTGGATGTGATTTATAAGTTATATACATAATGGAGGAGATCTAGTTGAAAAAACTCTTACAGCAAGTATATGATTTGAACCATGATATGGGAAAACTGAGACAAAATATACCACAGCAGAGTTAGTTACATTCAAAAGCAGCAGAATTAAAACAGAATGTAGCAACAACAGATAACTTACCTTCCTTTCATTCTGCTTTTACAGTCTCTTGAGAACATAAAAGTATTTTGGACTTCAGTCGACCTGCATATATGATATGATATCCATATTGCTACTTCTGCAGGTTGAATATGTTGACTTTGAAAGGGTGTCTTGGTACGTGCAGTTAACTAGCAGAAATAGGTGGTCTGTATTTGGATGGTTTACACGTACTTCCGTGCTGAAGGCTTTTCTGGTCGTGTTCTCTTGCCCACACACAGAAAAATTGGCCCTCTATGGTAAAGCATATAAGGTAGTCTGAATTCTTATTAATGAGGTACAAGCTGAGGGTTATGGTATACTGATGACATTTAGTGCTCTCTTATGTAGTTCCAGATGATTCAATGTTGTAAAGCAGTCAGGAGGACGTTTATATAAGAACTGTCTGAGTTGTAACCAACAAAAATTCAGATCAACTTTTGTTGGGAAGAGGAAGCAGCTGAAAGAAATGATGGGGTTTTATAAGAGAGCCCTGTTCTTGATAACATATATTTATAGTTTAGGAATTTTGTTAAACATGAGCCTTAATTTGTTAGCCCTCAAGGGATTTTTCAAGTTGTACATTTTTTCCTAGACCTTGTAGGAGTGAAGACAGCTACTGAATGTTTTTTTTTTCCACTGCTGTGCCTTTTGTTATGTTTTGGATGCACTGATTGTTGATCATCAGTGGGAACACAACCTAATTAAAATTAAACTTAGTAATATGTGTGTGTTTCTAGAACGTGAGTCTGGATACTGTTTGAAGTTTTACATAAATAAAGTATCGAATTTACTTTTCATCATCCAATTAAAAAAAATATTACCACTTCCTTGCTTTTTTATACGCTTGAAAATACACCTGTCTGAAAAGTATTGCAGAAACTTCTGATTTCCTGCCTTAACTACCTAAAATAAAATGCTCTGAATTATTTTGATAAGCATATCTTATTGAATCATGTGCAGTTTGCATATATTCTGTCACAGAATATTGACTAAGAAACCATCAAAACTAGCTTGTGCTCTGGAGGTAGGTATGTTTCTCAATAGCTAGAAAAATGTTTACATGTAAGAAAAAAATCTTGAAAACTTGGCTAGAGCGTTTGGACCTATTGTAGCAATGCAAGCTGAAGAGCTTTAGTCCTCTGAAGTCTATAGGGTAGTTTATTTAGATTTCTAAATACTTGCCAAGTCGTTAGGAGTTTAATTGGGCTGTGGCTCACTGCAGGTTTCATTACCATAGTAATAGGCACGGAGAGGGGAGCAGAAACTGAATAAAGCAGAATGATCTAGAGCTGGGAAGGTGCCTTTGCTGCAGCTAAAAATTCAGTTTGTGTTGTATGTTCAAATGCATAAAATCCAGCACCCAGCATTTATATCTTTAGAGATGCAGGAAGTGCAGAATCGTGACAACCTTGATATTGTGCAAAAATAGGTTTAATTTTACCGATTTCCAGCTAATCATCTCCTAATGTGGGTTTACAGCTTCTACCATGTATAAAGGAGTCTAAATGACTAAAAAAAAGACTTTATATTCTGTAGACGGGTTGCATAGAAGTTAGATGCTCATGTTCAGATTGGGTTCAAGGAAGACATTTGTTGAAGCTGACTGGGAGGGAGGAAGTAACTTCTGCTGTAAAACAAATGAAGGAGAAAAGATGGTGTTGCAGTATGAAGTATCAAGATATTTTAGAAAGATTGTTGTATGGATGGGGATCTAGAATGTGAAGGAAATGCAATTGCTGTTCCTGTGAATAACTGAACTGTGTGTACCAAAGCTCTCCAGCAGATCATGCCTGCTTTGTGTTGGATACAGGAGGTCTTATTTGGTCTTAAGAAATTGTTAATGTACAATCAGAAAAAAGCTTTAAATAAAAATAGAAATATTTCATGATATACCATGCACACATAAGAGTAAGAATTTTGACTGAAAAACTGGAAGAGTTAGTCAGTTTTTCTCTAGATTTGAAAGCTTTAAATCATGCAGCTCTTTACTGTGTCTTGATAGAGTAAGACTAGTTCAGAGAGCTGCTAACAGTTTCACCAAATGTAGAGAGGTAATAATAGCACAGTGAACACCTGAAACTTATTTTCCCTCAAGGTTTTTGCACAGAAAAACAACAAAAAAACCCTTTAGAAATAGGGTGTTTGAGGGGAATTAAAATTACTTTCCATTATGTAATTTCCAAACTGATAATGTAACGCTGTGCTTTTATATGCTGATGTACTGGACGAGCCAGGCAGTAGTTCAGGACATTTTGTTAATTTATATTATTGTCAGGTGTTTTGTTTCAGTATTAAAGATTGTGTTCAGTTGAAGGTTATGTTTGAAACAAATTCAGTTTTAATTTTTCAAATGTTGGAGGTCTTTTATTACTCTCTTTTTGCGTGTTGTAACAAATAATTATTTTTGGAAGGGGGAAAGGAAAAGTTCTCCTTTTGTGAGAGACTTTTCCCAGGAGTGTCAGAACACAAGGTCCTAAAGAATTGTCTGAGGCTTTACAGAGCAGAAGGTAACAATTGCTCCATTGATTCTCAAAAGGCATAGAAGCCTGTAGGCAGGACCCCCATTACGATCTGCCTGTAGAAGAACTGCACCTTTTTACTGGGGTGTTTGTTAAAGATTACCAATCTTGATAATACTGAATTTCAAAAGCTAACTCTTTAAACTGGAAGAATAGGAGAAAGTGGTAACAATAGCTCAGTGACTGTGGTCTCCTATTGTGCTGGCTTTTTTAACCCATACATCAAAAGAAAATTTCCCCCAGAAGGGTGGTTTTGGGTGCACTGCTGCTGAATTGTATATTATGTTTCAGCTTCACGTTACAAAAACAATCATGTTTTGAAGTACAGGCAGCAGTAAGAGGCAAAATCTACCTCCTGGAAGGCTTCTGAATTTTTGTTGAGTCGTTTCCTATAGATGTTATAACTAGAAACAGTGTTTTCCATTTTTCCTGTGCTGAGAAATTGCTTGCAATTTGCTTAATTAGCTGCCAGGTTTTCAAGATTTTTAAACTGGGAAAGGAGAAATACAGACAAACCTAACTCTCCAGTTGTATCATACCAGTAGGTAAAAGAATACTGAACTTGGCTGTTTTACCCCATTTCTTTAGAATATCATGTGCCTTGTTTTTATTTTTTCCAGCTGATTCAACTCATCAAACAATATTGATCATCTGTGTCTATTTTTTTGTTCTCATAAAATCAGAGTATGAATCCCCCACTTCCGCCACCACCTCTCTTGTCTGCTGCAATCATTGCATCGGCTTCTTCTGGACCTCAGTCTGCAGGTGTAATACAAAGGCCTACATCAGCATCAACTGACCAAATGGCACATTTACGACCACAAACTCGTCCAAGTGTGTAAGTAAAATTGAAACATTTTGCCAGTCAGAAAAATGGAACAAGATCAGTAACTTTGAACATACTCATATCGTGCCAGCTGGCTGTGTTCTGCTAGAATGCCCAGAAATCCAAACATACATTCAGAACAAGAGCAACAAAACATACATATAGGTGATACCCTGAAACTGCCTTCATACTGAGAGTTTTTTATGTCTTAAATTAATATAATCAGCTGTTGCTGTGTATAAAAAGGACTCACTTCAAAAATATAAAGTGTTTATCATGCAGAAGATGAATGGATCCTTGAGTTAGCAATGAAGACTCTGTAACTCGCAAGTGGCAAATATTGGAGTGAATTTACTCAAAGTTTTCTGTTATGTATGGTATGAACAAACTATTCTCATTTGGCATAACTTGGCCAAAACACCAAGTGCTGTATTTCATTTAGACTGCTGTATTAGCATGTCATTATCAGAATGGTTGTGTAAGTTGCAATTGAAGTTTGACTTATGATTTTGCAGTTCACTTAATTAGTGAGTTGCAGTTGGGAATGAAGGTAAAAAGCTGCTAGTGAGCATTATGTCTTCACAGTTGTAATACAAGTAAGCGTGTGTCATCTTCTGGGTGAAAATATTTTGTATATTAACATGTGCTGCTGACAACATCTTTTGTCTTGGAAACTTCTTTGTGCGCAGCTTGGAGAATAAGAACCATAAAAGAAAATAAAATTCAGGAGTGGCTGAACCATCTAAATAGGACACGTTTGAATAATACAAGGACTGTTTTTGTTCTATGTCTTTCTTTATATTCCCACCAGGTTTCCTCCCACTCCTAAAGAGCAGGTGCATCTTGTATAGCACCTTGTCTTGTATAGCATATGTAACATATGTCTTGTATAGCAGGTGCGTCTGGATTTGGGCTGGTTTTTTGGTGTTAAGCATTCTAACACTGCTTCTTATGGATTATTGTGCTTAGTTGTATTTAATCAAGTACCCATCTCATTTGTTCCCCTCCTCCATCTTCAAAGGGTTGCTCTTAATCAAGATACTAATGAAATTTGAAATGATGTAACCAACAAGGAAGTTAATGAACACCAGTTAAAGCACCTCAGTTCCTTTCCCATAGAGCTTCACTATGTGACTTTGTGGATCCTCCCTAAATCGTGTACCAGTGAAACCTTTTGTTGCTAGTGTGTCATATGTTGTCTTTAAAGCCTATTTTGGACTTGCTTTACCAAGTATCTACACTACATTATCTGCAAAGATGTTTTAAAGGCACAGTTTTCTGGGTGGACAACAAGGAACAAAACTGTAATGCAAAAAATGCTGCCATTACAATGCACAAGGACCAATTTTGATAAAAGAATGTTTTGTAAAGCTGCTTTTTTACCCTTGGGGTTACAACGGGAGTGGAAAAGATTAGCACTGAAAGTAATTGTGGATCTTTTTTCAGAAAAGGGGATATTGAATCCCTTTACCCTAATTGGCTGCCTCCCGAGAAAAGTATATTATTTTTGAGAAAATGTGATTTATTAGAATGCTGTTTCCCATAGGTCCATAATTATATAAACATTTTCATGTAAATGGTTTAAAAAGTTTTCTTACGTTCAAATGGTGGCAGAAAATAGAACACTGGGGTGGTTAAGACAGTAACACTCCTTAATGTGACAATAGGAAAATGTGCAATCTTATTTGAAGACTTCCTTAGGAATATTCCAGCAGCAACAGTAGGACCTTCAGTTTTATTTTTACTGTTGATTTTTTGTCCCCTAAGAATGTCCTTTTAGAAGTAAAAATGCAAAATGTTTCTGAACTCTCACTATGGTTTCAGATGCACTGTATTATGTGTTAATGTTACTTAGAAGGAAACAAGAGAAATGAACTTTACAAGTGTGTAACTGCTAGCTACCTTACCCATACCCTTCAAGTTCTAGTGACGTCTTTCTTTTGGGCATGCAGTTGCACAGGGACATTCCAGTTTTGCAATCTGAAAAGTAGTTCTGATACTGATTTTTTACTCCCAACTAACAGAACTTCTCCATTCTCCCCACCCCTTCACAAAAAAGATACTGGCATGTCACAAAGTGTAAGAGATACTAGAAGCAGGTGGAGGGGGAGAGAAGTGGGATATGCTGGGATCTGTAGTTGATAAACACCTATTTAATTAAGTTCACTAAGTTAATTAAGAAAATGAATAGACTTACTGTTCATTGCACTGAAGTGCAGTTAGGAGGATATTCTTAATGGTCATTGTTTCCCTTAATATTGCCATAACTTCTGTTTTAATATTGTAACAGTGTGACGGATCTACTAACACATAACCCTTTCTGCCGTGCCTTCTCATCTCTGAGCTCTCTCTGCCAGAAAGTGATGTTTTCAATTGTTTTAGGTTTATCAAGTGCATCTACTTTCCTGTCTTTTAGGTATATTGCTATATACCCTTACACTCCTCGAAAAGATGATGAACTGGAACTGCGGAAGGGAGAAATGTTCTTAGTGTTTGAACGCTGTCAAGATGGCTGGTTCAAGGGAACTTCCATGCATACAAGCAAGATTGGTGTTTTTCCTGGGAATTATGTGGCTCCAGTTACAAGGTATATTTTTATACAAGTATCTAAATAGTTTATCTATTTTAGGGTCCAAAATGATTTTGTTATTGTACATAATGCTAAAATTGAGTAATAGAAGAGCTGCAGGTTTTATTAGCCAGCTCATTTTTTAGTTGTCTTTTAGCATTTTGCTTTTAATTTTGGCAGGACAGTGACAAGTACATCACAAACAAAAGTTCCCATGTCTACTGCTGGCCAGACGGGACGAGTGGTCACTATGGTCAGCCCTTCCACTGCTGGTGGAACATCACAGAAGCTCCAGGCGAATGGTGTGGCAGTGAACTCCAGCACAGTACCCACAGCTGTGGTTTCTGCAGCGCATATCCAAACTAGTCCGCAAGCCAAGGTCCTTATGCACGTGACGGGACAAATGACTGTCAACCAGGCTCGCAATGCAGTTAGAACAGGTAAAAATCAATTGATAAATAAAATAAAGCTTTTTATGTTTGGTAGGCAAACTGTGGGGTCTGTCTGGGCAAGTCAGGATATGCATAAATATCTGCTGGGCTTTCTAAAAGTATCTTTTATGTTATTTTTAGAGTTGAGTGCTTTCTGAAATGACAATATGTCTCTGAATTGTTGAATCTTTAATTATTCTCCTCTAAGCAACTGTGTGTACTCCTACTGTTGCGAATTTATCTGCATTTTAGGTGGAATTTGTTATTTCATCAGTATCTGGGATGAGGATGTTCTTGGATCTTCTCCAGTCACACACAATTCAGATAGTAATAAAGTGATAAGAACACCTGAGTCATATCTTTTTGTGTGTGTGTGTGTTAACTGCATAACAGCTACAGATTGCTCTAATTTAGCATTCACTTTTAAATTATCTCCTAGCATCTTTGAAGGCCTTTAGCATTCATTCCTCCTTTTTCAGGTCTCTGGTTTAGGGTTAGTCCTTAGGTATTCCAGTTTGTTCTCTAACCTTGACTGCAGCCTCTTTCAGCTTTGACTCTGAAACACTAAGGCTATACTGGCTTCAAGATCTATATGATTTATGTCATAAAATTCTGTATGTCTCACAGGTATAACTCTGCCTTTACTGTCTGGAGCAGGCCACATCACAGTGAAACATGCCTTCTTGTTGTTTAAGCCCAGATCCAAAAAGATTGTTTTCAAGAGTTTTTGTTTACCAAATCCATGCACTCCTCTGTGGATTTGCCAGGCTAGGAAAATACCACACAACTGGAGCCTGATCTGTTCCAGTTACTCCTAGGGCCTCAAAAGAAAAGAGAAAAAAAACAACCCAAACCTCTATTTCAAGCTATCCCTGTGTTCCCTCTTTCAGCCTTGAATTTAGGGCCTAAGATCTCATGTTGAGACAAAGGGTTTTTTTCACCACAAGGCTCTTACTGGCAGAGCAGAAGACAAAGCTGCAGTTGCAAATGGTATTGTTAGCCCCTTAAGGGTGATTTATTTCTTGCGGTCTCGAGATCCATGAATTAACCCACCATCTTCAGAGTCATGCATCTCCTAAAACACTGTTCATGTTCAGATGTCAGTACCAGGTTTCCTTTTGGAGGAGGTAGGATATGTACGTAGATACTTTATTTCCTTAGTGCCATCTTCCTCCAGTCTGATCTTAGGCTGGAACAGATGTGATAGTCCTCTGTAAAAACTCTATTCTTTACCTTTAAAAAACAATAACCAGGTGCTATTGGCAGCTGGTAAGAGACACTAAGCAAAGCATCTGCACTTTCCTGCCTGTCAGGCATAGGTGGTTTCTAATCTAAATTCTTCTTTTGAGCTGCCTTGAAGTTTGCAAAGTGACAGCACAAAGGAGAAAGCTCCTGTAGGCTCCAGAAGTCTTTCTTGAACCCCCATCTCTGTACTGCTGTCAAGACAAATAACAACTTACAGTTCCATTCAGCTGGAAAACATGACAACATGCTTCGCAGCTTTTCAGGTCCAAATGGAAAATGCAGAGGGGCTGCACTCTCTTCACAGAGAACTTAACATAGGATTTTGATCTGAGGGTGTACTAATCAGTTACAAATACAGATCTGTCCCTTATAAGGGCCTGAGAATTGAAGCAATAACGGCTGCTTTATGTTCAAATGTTAGAGAACTTTGTCATCAGCATCTGAAACGTGATCATCTTGAGCTTTCTGTACCTTCGCTGAGTGTTACTCTCTTGATGAAGCATCATAGATCAAGGCTGCATTTTTGCAGGGCTGTTCTTCAGTTTCAGTTTAGCTCAGGACTTCGAGGACCCTTCTTCAACTGATCTTAGTGAGACATGGCTTCACATCACCCTTGCTAAAGGGATCTGCATTCTTTGATTGAAAGGAACTTTGAAAGATGTGCATGGTCCTCAAGAGTTAGGAAGGGTCTATTACAGGGGAAGAGGTTATATATCGAAAAACAGACATAGCATTTTGTGGTGCTTTCTTTTTAAGAAAAAACTTGTGTTTCTTATAATGGAGATTTTAACTGGGTATGATAATACAGGATTGCTATATCAAATTTGTGAACTTTGTCAGTCTTCTTTAATACACTGTTGATGCAATCTAACCAAATTACCAAGGGAATTTGTAGAGAGCAGACTGAAGAGATCAAGTGCCTGAGGCTTCATTCCAGGATATCACTTATAACAAACCTGAAACTCTAAGCAGTATCTGAAAAATCAGAGTGAATGGATATGTTTGAGATTTACATGCACCAAACTCCAGAGAGGTCCCCTTGTTAGATACTATGTTTCAGAGTATTTGAAGGAAAGAGGCTGTGCAGCACTGGGATGCCGCGTTTTGCCCCATTCTGTTAAGATGTTTGCACTTCATTCTACCCAGGGCTGCAAAGATGTTGAAATGATCCAAAAGCTTGTGTGGCTGACAATGTAACTATAATAGCAATGTTGTTTCTTGAGAAGGATAAATTAGTTAATGCAGAGCTCTGTGGTTTGCAGCTAGGCAGCAGCCCAGGTTGGTATATTCAGCCCTGTGCTGTTCTGCAGCTTCCAGTGTGGATGTTCCTTTTATTTCACAGGGGTATGAGTAAATCCACTTCTATATTTAAACATCCCAAGAGACAGTAGCTTACGTTTTCAGAGAAACCAGTCATAGCAGTAATTGCCACTGTACTTATTGTTTGAAAGACCCACTAAATCTGTTGTGGATTTTGTGAATAGTTTAGGGAAAACAATCCAATTATATTTTTAGCAGCTTCTATAGGGAGTGTTTCTTCCTACTTTGTTTTATGTGCCCTGACAACTACACAGCATATTAAAAGGAACAAACAAGTTCCAGGCTGTATTTAGCTAGCTCTTACAAACTAAAGTGTAATCTTCACTTTGCATCTCTCTCTGTACATGAAGCATTTTACTTAGCAGCTTGGACTTCTCCACAGTAGTTGCAGTGCTGTTATTCTTCTGTGCATACTGGTGCAAGTAGGGTAGCATATGCTACTTCTTTATTCTGGTGAGATGAATTTGATGCTGTGTAAGATGTCATAGTAATACAAATGGGAGTTAGGAAGGTGGGAAGGAAGCTTCTCATGACTGATTAGGTATAACACAGTAACTGTACCTCTCTTTGTGTGTCTTGTGAAAAGATGACCTGTCACATTTTATTCTTTTTTCCTAGTTGCTGCACACAATCAAGAAAGACCTACGGCAGCAGTCACACCCATACAAGCACAGAGTTCAACATGCCTTATTCCTGCAGCTGTGATCATTCCCCACCACTCTGTTGCCTCCCAGCAGCTCCAGCCTCCAGCAAATAGTGCTGCTTATGTCACAGCTGTGAATGTGAACCGCTCAACCATCCCACTGGCATGTGCTGCAGGTTCTTTGAATTCTCCCAACATTGCTGCTTCATCTTTGGAGGGAGATGTTAGTGGAAGAACTGTGAACACTCACACTGGAGCTCCTGCATCTCCAGAGAGTGCTCTAGCAGCTGGTGGAAATGCTGCTGTCAGTAAAGCAGACAAGGATGGCAAGGTGGGTAGAGAATAAAATCATTCCCTTGAATTCTGCCATTTTCATCATGCAAACTTTGAGATCCATTTTTTTTCCGTGCATTTTGTTGAACAGCAGCACTGGAAGGTTTTTAAGACTGAGTCTGAAACTCAGGCAGCCATTTTGTGACTACAGCCATGGGCAAATATATCCTTGACCACACAAGAAAAATCTAGGGTGGATTAAAATACAGAGCAAACCTTGGAGAAGGGTTAAAATAGGGTAGCAGGCTCATGTCTTAAGCAGGAGAAACAAAAGGTAAATGGATAAAGTTCAGAAGAACTAGTAGATTGACTGTTGGAATTTCAAGTATTTTGTTTTTCTTTACCTGCATTCAGTTTCCTAAATACTTTAGAAAGATGTATGGTTAGCATAGGTTATCAGGAAGTATCTGTAAACTAATAAGCCTGTAATTAAAACAAACCCCAACAACAAAATAACCCACCCAGACAAAAAACCTATAAACTTGTGGGAACATACAAAAAAAAAAAAATCAGTCTAATAAAATAAACCTAATATTTAGTAAAAATCATTAGTTTTTTAGGTTGCCTTCCTGATTAAGCAGACACACAGAGAGATTATGAAAAACACATAACCAGCAGTGTTTATTGGACAAATTAAAAAAAACCACCCAACTCTTGTCTTTTCTAAATGTAAATCAGTAGTCTGTAGTGATTCTGCTTTCAGTCTTCTATTTGAAGTATTTTCCTCTGTGTCTAAACTTATTCTCACTGTCCAACAGCCATGTGATTATAGTATATCGTAGGCAGAAACATTCCTTCAACTTTATAACTGGTTTTGTTTTACAGTTGTGGTGTAGTTAGATTTTTTTTTCTCCTTTTGACAACATTTTTTTATATCTCAAATGTTTTAGGCTTTACCTTACTACTCTTCAGCCACACACACTCCTTAATGAAGTTTATGAAGGTTTTAATCGTAGGCTGTACACTAATCTCATCTACTTCCCATTTTTTTTTTTGTTGAATATTGTTGAATGGGTGTACCTGGAACTATGTTTTAAAGTTACTTTAGTCATAGCCACTGAAATCAGACTGAGGTGCCCTTAGGCAGGACTTTTAGAATCATAGCATGGTTTGGATTGGAAGAGATATTCTATGTTTTTGACAGTATGTTCTACAGTTCAGGGTTAAAGATGCTAACATATTCTTTGAGCTTCTCTTTTTCTTTCCCATTTGCTGGACTTCAGTCTTAGCTAATATAGCTTGAAGTTATTGGAGACTTGGATGAAGGACTGAGGATTTCTCATTCACAGTTTACCAATCTCAGTGCATCCCAAGCTATAATACAGATCTTCACTGCTCATGGTTTTCTCATTCTGTGGTTAAATAGCTTATTTTTGTCTCAAGGGCTTAAAATCTGGCACCTCTCTTAAGCACTAAATTCACTCAGTCAAAGGGTTGGTAAGAAGATCACTGCCACACCCCTTAAAAAAAAGACAAGAAACACAAAAGCTACTTAAATAATTCTCTCCAGGGTAAATAATAGTCTTCAGGGATTCCTGTCTGGACAAGCAAAAAGAATGTTTACCATTCGTCCCTCTAGCAGAGCAGCAAAACACAATACATTCTCCTTATGGCAAATTTCTGTTAAATCATGAAGGTCTTGCCTTAGTGAGGGAGGATAAGTAAAAGACACTTTATCTAAACAGCAGCTTCCAGGGCAGACTTTTCTCCCTGCTTGGTCTGAAATGACTCTTTATGTCTTCCTAGAAACTTCCATGTTAGCAAAATGGTTTACTTCTTAGATTCCCATTGTGGGAATCTAACTCCTCACACTCCTTTTTCTAGACAGGCCTTTAGGTCACTGGCATTGGCTTTTAAGGTAAGTCTTAATTAAAGCGAAAGGACTTAGCTGGTTTATGGTCTAAAAGACTTAATGTTTTTCTCTTTAGAATTGTAACAATTACCTTTCTCTTTCATAATCTTTGTAATTATCTTTATTAATTTGTGCAGTCTCAAATGTCTCCTCTCTGATTACCATGCCAGCTATCAGACACAAGTGTTCAACTCTTCATGGGAGACTTTTGTTCTAAAACAAGGCACTGCTTTGGTTTACAGAAAGAAAAAAAAGGTTTGCTGAAACTACTTTCTGGAGCATCCACCAAACGGAAGCCCCGATTGTCACCTCCAGCATCACCAACCCTGGACGCTGAGCAAGCAGCTGCAGAGCTAGCCCTGCAAGGTGCAGTTGGGCCAGAGCTTCCGTCATCCAGCGGTCACAGCAAAGCTGGATCCTGTCCCACCGACAGTGAGGTCTCTGGGCTGGCACAGGAGACACTGCATCGGAAAACAAGTTCCCTGGATTCCTCTATTCCTGTAGCACCGCCGCCTAGGCAGCCTTGCTCATCCCTGGGTCCAGTCCTGAGTGAATCCAGGCCTCTTGTCTGTGAAAGGTAAATTATCCTATATAGCTAGACTCAGGCAAACCAAGAAAAAAAGCTACTCTTTGACATTTACCATGTATATTAGAACTGCTGCAAAATGCTGAGATACAGCATTTTACAGCAAGAGGAAACTTACTTTTTTAACAGTGCTTTATATGCTTATCAGCCAAGGCTCATGTGTATGTTTGTTTACCTTTTGTGTTACTTTGAGGTTTTGGAATGAATAGACACTCAAATACACTCATCACAAGTTTGGTATGAGAACTGAGGTAGATAAAATGCACAACATGAACACATTATATTCTTGCATTTATGCATATTGGGTTAGTTCTTTGAGATTATTAGCAGTGCATAATTGCCAGCCTAAATATATGGTGAATGAGATCCTTATCTATGAGTAGGCTTAATATGTGATTTCTTCAGCTGTTGCAAAAATACTTTTACTATGCAGATGCCCTGTTACTGTGCACTCCACATAGCAAGCTCTAGGGCAGCCTCTGTGTCCTGGCAAGTGAGCCTGAAAAACATATAGCTGTCTGGACTCTGAAGCTGCCAGGCAGTTGCTTTAAAGTTCTGTCACTTTTATTTTGTGTCCACCTATGATTTTCAAATGTCTGAGTCCTCAGTAGATTGTGCAGACTGCAAAGGAAGTGACAGTTTTCTAACTACTGTCTCTTTTTATTACTCCTGGGAGTAGATAAGCAATATGAAGAGTGTCACAGGATTTCTTTTGCAGTAGCTAAGGGATTGTGTAGCATACAGAAAAAAAAAGCAGTAGAGTTGCAGCTCAAGGACTGAACTGATTTATGCTGACTATTATAGACTTTGTTCTGGTACTATTAACTCATGGTGTGTGGGCATACCACTGTATTTCCAGAGGCCCATTGATCTTAAGCTATATCTGTGTATTAGAAGCCAGGCAGTGTATAAAGTTTCTATTTTGTCTTTTATTTTACTTCTGTCATACCTTTAATAATTTTTAAAAGGTTGATACTGTTTCTATGCCATTTCCTTGCAAGAAATTTCTATTTTACACTGAATTTTTGAATTAGATTTACACTTACAGATGGAAAATAGAACGTGACAGAATTTTCTTTAAGAATAACATATTTTCACATTATTGTAAGTCTGTTTGGGACAGTGATATGGTTTTCTACTTTGTGAAAATAACACCAAAGTAATTCTGGAGTGACCAGTGGATATATGTGCAAAGCTATTTGCATTCTTACAAAAAGCAGTTTTTCCACTACTGTGATGGATTTTTTTTTTCTCAGAACTACTTACAGAAAATGATGCTTACAGTTACCTACAGAAAATGCTTACTTACTGATCTAGTAATAACATACACTCAAACATTCTTTTTAATATATCTGTGTATCCTTACTATTGTTTAATTGCTAACTGCTACGGGGAAAGTGCTATCACAAGATCATCCTCCCTGGTAGTCATGCAGAATTGTTACTTTTTGGCCAGTGTATTTAAACAGAATTTCACTTGGGTTCCCTTTGTCCTTTTCAGGGCAGGGTTAGTGTTTTTCATGCTGATGTGCTCTTGTCATGTTTCCATTTACTTAGGCCAAACTGCTTAAAATGTTTTGCTTAAAAATACTTGCTACTTACATTGTACTCAATATCATCAAAGTAATTTATAAGCATTAATTAATCTTCATTAATGTGGAAGCAGGGGTGGGTAAGAAGCATACTGATGATGCAATAATTTGTTGAAGAGGAAAACATTCATAAGGATAAGCTCAACAAAAAGATGAAGAACAGAGAAATCTCCTGCTAAAGTTATTCTGCTCTTACATATCACAATTCCAATTACAGGCTACAGTGTGTTTGGAAAAAGAAACAGTACTGTCTATTCTGACTATGGCTTTACAGTGCAATTATCAGCATTCAAGTTTTATTTTCAGAGGTGACTAGAGGATTTAGGAGTGTGTTTCTGTTAATTATCCTACATGAATTAGGAGCAAAGGTAGCTGGCTCAACTCTGTAAAGCACCTGAAAATGTTCCTGGTTTGGATACCGAGTTTTCCTAGAAGTCCTTGCTTCCTTTAACATGCAGTATCAAATTTTTACTCTAATCTCACTGTTTCTCCTTTCACTAGAATTGTAAGTAATCCTAGAATGTGTCATTCCTGTATGTTCTACAGAAAATTAGGATTAAAAATTGTGCACTTGTTTCCAGTCATACAGAATATATGGATGGGCATTTGATTTGTTTGCTAGCAGACAAGCTTTCTGGGACATGGATTTGCAGATGGATACTTCATACCTGTGGGCATTTCACTAAAGGAGGGGAATATGATACGTTCCCTTCTATCTTACTATTGCAGGTCTTCTCTGTAGTTGCCATTCCTATATACGCTCTTCTCCTATGAGCTAGGTTTTTGCTTACTGTGTTTCCTGGTCTTCTATATGTTCCTTGTACAGAAGGAGCAAAGAAATCAAACAGAAATTTCAGCCAAGCCTTGCTTCCAGTTTGGAGCAGTTTGGAGAATTCCTGCACCTGAGACACTGCAACAGTGTTTAGTCGTTTCTTCTGATTCCCCAGCCAAGGCATAAGTTGTTTGCAGGCGCTGGGATTTCCTGTATTGATGCAGTGCACTGACAAGGCCAAGGATCACTGTCTTTTCATTAAAAAGATAGACTAAACACCCTGTAATTCCTGGGGGGAATTACATTCATACCATGTTATGCTATGAATACACAGTAATTTGGTTATCTGAGACGTTTAGGTTTTTTTGATAACAAGAGGTAAAAGACTGTTTCAAGCTTTTTTCATGAGCTCTCTCTTTTAGAGGGAAACACTGATTAAAGCCTTAAGTTTTACAGTAAATATACAGCACTGTAATAACAAACTTCCCAGCACCCCACAGTGGTGTTAAAGACCTGAAGTTGAACCTAAATACACTTCTCTGCATATCCTAAACTAGAATATGAATCCTTTATCCAGTTACGGTGAAGGAGAGCAGTAATTTTGTTCTGTGATTTAAGTGACCCTAGGTTTTTTTTATGCACCACAAAATGACTGCTGTAACATCTGCTTCCAGTGAGCAGGCCAGTGGCTTTAGAGGGCAGCAGGTCTTACCACATCTGATGGGTTTAATGCTGTTAAGTAAATACTACCCTAGGTGGGTGTCGATCTGCTGTAGGAGTCAAGGCACATACTCAGCAGACAGGAGAGAGCTGCACAACACCAGGGCACAGGTAAGCTGAAAAGTACAAATTAAAAGTGCAAAAAAAGAAACTCAAGAAGATAAAAAATAAGTATGAATTTAAATTGTGCAACAGTAGTAATTCCAACTTTCTGTGTATTCCTCAACTGAAATTTTCTGCATGTGACAATATATTTTTATCTACTTGGTGATTAGAAAACCACAGATAACTGTGCAAAAATAAACTGCAAATAGCTGGGAAGAATAGCAGTATTTTTGTGTCTAGAAACAGTGTAGAAAGGGAAAAACAAAACAGAAACAATGTAGAAAGGGGGAAAAAACAAACCAGAAACAATGTAGAAAGGGAAAACCGTGGAAGATACAATCTTTTTCATGTTGCTGAAAAGTGTGAGCAATGCCAATATTACAAATGAAAAGTAGAAAGGTGAAGACAGACCATGGCCACCACCACCACCCCCCCCACCCTCGCCCCCAAAAAAGATATTTCATAAATACAGAGGGCAAAAACAGTGCACACACATTAGGAATAGCAGGAAAGAACTGATGGAAAATATAGTGGCTGCTTCTCAGAAGCTGAAGTACTTCTTTAATACTAATATTTTATCACTTGCTGCTTAAAAGTATTTAGGGTAATATTTTGAAAATTAACAATACCATAAGAAAATATAAAGAAGAAAATACATACTGTGTGGTTTAGGTGCATGTAAAGTATTCTAGATTAGGTGACCACGAAAGGGCTGCAAATTTGACCTTCAGTCATTGCAAACATTTGCAAAAACTGAAGAAGGAGATAAACAAGGAAGTTTTGGGAGATTCAAACATGTGGGAATGAACATGTTTTTCCAAAACACAGGTCATGCTTAGTAAATGTGGCTATTTTTCTCTGGGGACCTGGCACTGAACTTTTGAGCTGAAGCATAAGTTTTTTACTCTGGATGAAATTGGTAGTTTTAGCAGTTTGTTATAGATGATGAACTAGGAAATGGAAAAATAGCTTCTCCGTAATCATTTAGGGTGATCTGAATAGACAACACTCATCACAGAGAATGTGTGATGAGTCTGGATCTGATCACCTCTAACTGGGCAAATGGTATTTGTAAAATGTGGCATAAATTTGGTGTCTCATTGTAATAAAAGAAGAAAATGAGATTTAAGGGTGCAAAGCCTGCTGGGTTTCTTCTCATCAAACATTGAAAAATACAGTAAAATAGCATTTTAACACCAGGTGCTTTGTTTTAGACATTAGATTACAAGAATGGATATCAAAGTACTCAGGAAGCTAAAAATTAATGAGAAGTACTAAATTACTGCAGGGTTGAGGGAGCTCAAAACTGTGGAAAGCTCAGGAGAACAGTAAGTTCTTTTGCGTATCAGGTGCTTAAGAAAAATTGTGGAGTTGACTACTTTTTTTAAATGTTTATTTTTAATATAGTACAAATGTGCCCAAATCAGGTGGCATGTGTTCTAGCCTGAAAAGTTTCCAAGATAAATGAAAATAATTCAAAGCAGCAGTGCAAATTAATAGGTTTTGCTGGTTGCTTCTTTTTGTTCTGTGCCTGAATAGCCTTTTCTGACATAGTATCATCTTAAACACACAGTTGTAAAATTATGCCAAATTACTGCTGTGGATGCTTTGGTTGTTGTTGAGTCATGCTGACTGGAACAGTCTGAAGTTTATATCCAAAATTACATTTAAAATTTTCTCCTGTTACTTAAATAGTGTCTGGATTTTTACAGGAATCTTAGTGAAAAAAACTTGATAGGTGATATATACATTTGACTTGAATTCATTATGTTGCTATTCTTATTTCCTCTTCAAGATATACTTCTGTTACATATTGAGCAAACAGTTCTAGGCAGTTTCCTGTTTTCATAAGTTTTAACTTTTACAGGAATATTTTTAGAGCACTGGTTTAAAAGTGCCTAAATGAAAGTTGTGTTTTTCTAATTACACAGGTACAGGGTTGTGGTATCCTATCCTCCTCAAAGCGAAGCCGAACTTGAACTTAAGGAAGGTGACATTGTTTTTGTACACAAAAAACGTGAGGATGGCTGGTTCAAAGGCACTCTGCAACGAAATGGAAAAACTGGCCTTTTCCCTGGAAGCTTTGTGGAGAACATTTGAGAAGATCATTGCAAGAGCTTCAAATCATACTGTACTGCAAAGTAGCACAAATATTTTACCAGAAAAAGCACAGTCATGAAATATTTTCAAATGACTGTAATGTAAACAAAAACCTACATATTTTTACAGTGTCTATAGCACAATTACACCAGCGAACAAAGAAGATGAAGGCATCTGCTGGTTTTATCACTTTGGATTCTTAAGTGTGATGTGTGCCTTGTACTGTCTGATTTATTATATAGAGGAACTTCCCCCCCCCCCAAGTATGTTACATAAATGAACAATTGTTTACAAGGCTGTAACTAATTTATTCTTGTTTTTTTAAACTTGAATTTTGTGTAATAGCTCAAATTCTTGTGACTATGATTTTAACAAATTATTAATTTATGAAAGAATAACTAAGGGGAAGCTGGATTCTCTCCTTATGAGCAAGCAATTATATCTGATAAAGAGCCTCCCGTCTATCCTCTGGACATTTTTCCCCTGCTGTGTCTAACAGTGGAGTAAGTCTCTGTTTTATGAGTTAATGTTGAGTGGTGGTGATGTGGCGTCAAATAGAATTTGCCAAGTGGGGAAAAAAATGTGTATGTTGTTGTTTGGACAGATCAAAACAAAAGTCAGTGGTGTTCTTGAGTCTAGTTCTACTTCCTCATAAATCACCCAAGTGGAGTAATGTTTCCAGGAGGCAAAGATGTATATGAACAACTGAATAAAATTCAACCATCTCAAGGTTAGGATCATCTCAAGGTTAGGAAGGAAGAAATTTGGGAGTGCCAGTAAGAAATTCCCTATACCTTCTGTTTATAGCAACTTGGCTATTTGAACAAAGCCTAGCTTTGGATATTTGGCCAGTTATTTGGGCATTTAGCGCTCAGGATCCAAGAAAATTGGAAAGAATGTTAAAGCCCAACATTTAGAATGATCATATCTTGCAAGCATCGTTTTGATAACTGAAAATAAAAATAAAATTATAAGTTGTACTTAATGTCTAAAATTGCCTAAGAAGTGTAATTTGCTATTTTCTTCTCAAACTGACATGCATGGCCAAGAGATGTTTTAAAATGTCTGAGCAATAGTGGTGGTAAGTGATGCACTTGTGTTAAAGTAAAAGGCTGTATGAAACACTGTGAAAACTTTACTAACTTCTTAACCATTGCTACTTTGGTATGTTCTGACCTTTTCTTTGTCTTGCATGTGTTACTCAGTTCCTGCAGTACTTATAACTGTGCATGGTTGGCGTTTTTCACTCCAGTTCCCTGTTGGTGGGTTATTTTGCTCTGAAAGTTTCCCAAAAGCCACTTGACCAAAACTAGTGAGCAACTTGTCTTCAGCCAGAGAAGATGTCCAGAGTTTGAATCATTAATAAAATATTTTAATGTCCTTGCAGCTGATGGATATAAAGAATGCAGCCAGCAAGAAAAGCATTGTTAGTATTTCAGGGTTTTGTTAGAGATTTGACACTGGTGAACACACACGCTACTGAGCTGAACTTGTTGTTTTTTAATTTGACTGTTTAATTATAACAGTTTAATAGAGATTTTTTTGTAAGACACTGAGCACTGTCATCTCCAGTTAAATCTGATGTAATTTGGCTGTTACTCAGCACTTTACAAAGCAAAGCCAGTAGTGTGATTCAGTGTCGCACAGCACACAGAAACAGTGATAAAAAAGTACACAGTGATATGTTAAATCCTTCTAGTGTTTGTTTTTTGAAGTTATACATTGAAAAATATCAAATGTTAGTGACGAGGAGTTCTTGCAATATCAGGTAATATCATGATGGTCTTAAAGATAAGAAAAAATATATCTATAAATATATATAGTTGGACATGACAGCATTCCCAAATTAAACATCTCTCTGAAACACTGTATAATTCAGTTTTTGCATTTTTAAATATTTTTAAATAGTTTACTTGAATATTCATGTAATATATAAAATTTTTGTGAAATAAATTTTAGTTAGAAGCTGATCTCAGCTTTTGTCAGCATAAATTGGCACTAGTGTGTCATAATCTTATTTTGGAAAATTTAGTGCATTTTATATTAAAGACTACTAAAGGTTAATTTTTTTCTATCTCTACTATCCATATTTTAAGCTAAGTGATTAAGGTACCTCTATTAATAGAATTTCATGGTGTAAAGTCAAAAATCAGCTGTTAATCCAATAGTTCTGTTAGATGGAATACATTTTCAATTAGTTTTTTTAAACTTTAAGTAAATGTGTGTAAAAAGGGCTTATTACATAGCAGTGCAACAATGACAAAAATGCAGTTTATCATGCCTTTTTTGTGATGTTTTAGGGATTTTTTTTTTTGTTTTGGCTTGGGATTAATTCAGTGTAGAAACAGACAAACCCTGTGCATTTGCTTTGTGTAATTTCATAAAAAATTTTGTAAGGTATTTTATATCTATGTTTGAAGTCAAGTGAATGTTAAGTGTTTGATTTACTATGTTAAACTTCCAATCCTAATAAATATTTTCTTAGCAAACAGCTAAATCAAAATGTGTATGCAAATATTAAACATAAATTACTTGTAAAGAATTTGACAATAAAATTACCAGAACTTAATTTCAGAATTCATAGGAGGATATTTCTGCTCATAGAGGGAAAAGTCTTCAGATTCCATAATGTTAGGAGTTTGGAATAATGACTATAATGCAAAAATTGTAGAGAGAACTGAAAGGATCTGACTGATCTTTTCCATCTCTTCTCCATATTTCTGTAAGTAACTTCAGAAGAGGTAGGTAACTTCCATCTTAGTCTGATTGTGACTGACTAGTTCGGTCTTGTCAACAGGACATCAGGTTCATAATCATTATGAACTACTTTCCCTAAAGGAAGAAGTGTCTAGCATAGTGGATCTGCTGTGGATATTGAGAGTCCCCAGCCCTGAGGGTGAAGCATCTACCTGAACTTCGCTGTTCGGTGGTAAAAGACTCATTTGCCCTGGAGAAGTTTGCTGTGCACAGCAGTCAGACAGTAATTGCCTAACTAGGAGATCTTCTTGATTTAAATACAGTTACATGTCTACTATATATATGTGACTGCTATGAAAATGGTAGAAAATTAATCTTTAAAGTGTCTGCAAAAATATTATTCTCTGAATGTTTCAGCTACTGTGACAGTCTCCTTGGTAGTTAAGACTGACCAGGAACTAGATTCTGGAGCAGTGAGTGATGCAGCATTAAGTCTTCTCTGCAAAGAAGGAGCATCCAGTTTAACTTGCCTTAATTAGGGGGAAGGGAGGCAACATGATTTGTAGAAATGCAAACTGGAGAATACAGAAAAGCAGCTTTATTTGTTTTTCAGAGTTGAGATCTGATGTCAGTGCATCTGTAGGAGAAAAGTACCCACAAACATCACAGCTGTGAATAGAAGTAAGACTGTTTCTTTGCGTTGGGGTTTTTTGCTATTGTAATTATTGAGTCATTCTAATATGTGGCTAACATTGGGTTTGCCAGAGGTGCCTGAAATCTTGTTCACCCTCACTTCATTACCTCTGCCTTATAGCAGGAACGACAATTACGATAGTTTTGCATAGGCTTAAAAACATGGCTTCTGAGCATTCTGGCTTTTTTTCACAGGGCTGGCAAAATGTTATAACTGGCTTGTTCTTTCCAATAGCTTTAAGCAAATGTGTTTAAAGAGGTATATTGACTTTTATGAAACACAAGAATCTACTTGTCTGGTTTAAAAGATTTGTGTCTGGCGTTACTAAAACTCCTACAGAAGACATTTTCCTATATGTGCACAATAGATAGCAATGCCACTGGTTTCTGTTGGACGTGGCAATTCACCCATATTCTTTGTATTCTTAACATGAATCTACAATATGTGTACTTCTCAAATCACTCTCAGGTGCTTTATCCCTGCACTTTGATAAATGGCTAATAGTAAAGCCTAAACAGATTTGAAGTTTGACTCAAGAAAACCCCATGTCATAATTCTTTTTAATGACTTAATCATTCATAGGCTGACATACTTGGAATATTTGTATATACATACAAAAGAGCTGAGAATGGTAATGGTGGATGGTGAGGATATGGACATTAAATGTGAGGAAAAAATGGGAGAGAAAAGGATTTGGAAGACCTGTATACAGGACCTGCATCTTAGGTAACTTGTTTGGAACTTATCTCAGTTACCAAAGTCCAGCTCTGTGAAAGGACCTAAGAGGAACTTGGATGTTTTAAGGCTAAAAATGCAGCCCTCAGTCTTTACGTAGTCTCTTAAGCTTGTATTTGTTTGATGCTTGTGTCTTAGAACAAGTGCTGCTGTGGTAGGTCCAAGCTGCATTGTTATTCTCATGTCAAAACACATGTGAAATCCAAGACTAGGCACCTGTATTCCTGAATTACCTGAAAGGCTTGATATGATGGGTATGCTTTGAAAACATGTATGTGTCACACTGAGTACTGAGTTAAAAACACAACAGGAGTTTCAGGTTTGCATTAATAGGCAGGGGTAGTGTCCACTTTCCACAGAGTCTATGCAGTAGCACTAATATTAGACAGCTCTCTTGAGAAATGGTATGGATGCAATGCATTCTCCTTCCACTGTGTCATCCATATTGCTCTTACTTTCTAGGAGACAAACTTGTTGAGAGCCTTGAAGTTAGCAGCTGCTCTTGAAAACCTGAGGTCTCCCCTTTTGGAGCCTCAGTTTCCTCATTTGCCAAACTGACGGTTCCTGTTCTTGCAAGGTACGTGATGTAAAACTTGTTTTGAAAGTAAAGCCGGACTGGTTTTCAAGGATTTGCAAATAGATTCTGACGGATTAGACCTGCTCTAGTATATCTAATACAATCAGCAGCTGGAACATCTAAGCTCTTCCCCTGGAGAAGTCTCCTAAAGGCTTGATTTCTGTGGGTGGGAGACCTAGCTGATCCATTTTAACAGCTGAAAAGTGCTTTGATCAGAATCAGCCCAATGCAAGCAACGTAACAAAATGAATTTGCTATATCCAATCTGCAGTGTGCAAAAGCCATTCAAAATGTAACATAATGAGCATTTCATGCATGCCTATCAAATCTCAGCAGTACACTGAATACAATATTAGCAGATGTCAGTACTATTTATTTGTTCCTTCTACTGTTTTCTTTCCTGTAAGCTGTATTATTTTCTGAAAGAGGAGTGGCAAAATCAATTTCTCTGCCATTCCTACTCAGTGGAATAGAGACAATTTAAGCACAGTAATGTTAGCCTCAGAATTCAGTTATTCACACTTAGAACTAGCCTGTAAAAATTCTCCTTGGCACATGTAAATGTGTAGCACTCAGCTGCACTCTGCAGTACGATTTACCTGGCATGCAGAACTCAAAAGGCCTTCTGATGTTTGTATCTAGTACTCATTTAGATCAAAACCAGTTCACAAGATGTGTCCAAACAGTGGCTACATTCTAAATTCAGAGTGGTGGGAACAGCCTGTGCAGGAATGTAGAGTGGAAATTTGGCTGGCACAGCAAGAAAAACACTTTCATTACAATGACATAAAGAAAATGTCAGGATTTTTAAATATCTGTACAGGTGTTTTCTTGCCTCTGCTATCTTAGATGGAACACCATTCCACAAAGTAAATGGACTTTGATAGCCCCCCCCCGCCCCCCCCCCCCCCCCCGCTTTCCCATGAAGAAATGCAATATAAGCCTTTAAAAATATCCAGATTCTTTGGCATTAGAACACATGGTTGGATTCCCAATTACTGCACATCAGTGCTACTTCATTGATTTCATTAAACTTTGCTGGCATACACTGAATATGCCCCCTACTGTTAAATAGTGAAAGAAAATATCTCATCTGCCCTAAAGGAATGAGTATGTCTGAAAGAAACTGAGCTGGATGGCTTTCATACTTGGAAAATACAGAGCTATTTGGGCTGTGTTATCCTTTTCTCAAAAAATGTTTGTCCCACTGGCACAGCTCAGGCACTACATCAAAGATGAGGCTGTTCAACAGCACTGTAAAGCACAGAAGACTTGTTCGCTTTTCAATCAAACCCATAAATTTTCAGATCCACAATTGCAGAGTAGGCTTTGGTTTGCTAACAGCTGCTAGTCCCAAAATCTTTTGTGGTTAGTTGCTGCCGTATTTTCTCATGGTTTATCTGTGGATGCTTGGGAGAGAAGAGTCAGCAGCAGCATGGCTTTAAAGTGGTCATTGACTTTGTTCTCCACAACAAGGGACGTGCCCTAGGTCAAATTTCTTATTTCAGCTGGTTGAGCTTCTCAATAAGCTGAAGAATGCTAGGTCTAAAAAGTTTACAGTTCAAAGAATTTTTCTCCACTCCTCCGGTAGGCAATCTCAGTGTGTCTTCTGAATACAGGGATCAGGAAAATCTGCTTTTGCAAAGGTTTACTTTATGCATCTGTCCAATTTCTAAGTTTATAGTACACAAGTCATTATTTTCCCCTGCAAATCACTGAAATTCATTGCATTCAGTCGTTTAAGATCTCTGACAATAATTTCATCCTCTGACAAGGATGAAATATAATAGTTTTTTAAAATAAAATGATACTGTACTTTGTAAAGATCAACCTTTTCATGGAGGGTAAGAACACATACAAAGAGAGAAATGTTTTAAATCTCTTAATAAAATGGGTGCTCATCCTGCCTAGGCGTTCAGCATTCTTATACTTAACACATATTCCCTAATACAGAATTGGTGATTTCTGCTGCAGACTGCTAATACACAGAAAGGTGAAGTGTTCAGTTGAGAATTAATGTCTCCAGTAAATAGGAAAAAGATAACAAGAATTAGATGACCTTTGAATTCTGTCTGAAGAAACAGAGACTAGTTCAGGACCAACTTCTAGTTGTCCAGTTGTGCATGCTAAAACCAATCACTATTTAGAGGTCTGATACAGCTGTGCTCAAGAAAATGGCAGATAGTGTTTCTCATTTGTTCTTTTTCTCACCTAGAATACTCATTGATAAGGAAATCCATGTTTAACCTGATGTCAAATGCAGATGGAATTTGGCCATAACTGCAAAACTTTGCTTTCCTTGGTTTGGCAGTGTTAGTGAACACTTAGATGATCCAAGGAAAACTAAATACTAAAATATAAGATTCTGTCAGTAACATTTCTCAACTGTTCTCTGCAGCACAGGATCAGCCAAGCTTGAACATCAGTTTCTGAGTCTGGGAAAGTTGCTGTTCTCTGCGTAAAGATTGACGTGTCAGCAGCGAATGTGCCAGTGGGGAACGGGTGGGAGGAGAAACAGCCCTGTAATTAAAGAGATCAGTGAAACATTGTCTGGTCCAGCCACAGCTATTTCTTTTCTTAACACTGATCTCTCCCTTAGTAAATACTGCTAATGCTCCTCTCCCACAGTAGGTCAGTGAGGCTTGTTACCGGATGTGACCAAGTAGTTCTATGTCTGGGAGAGGAGGACCATGACAGAGCTTAGCTAGTTGCATGTCTGTCCCCACAAGTGCAGGCGCAGTCTATGCTGATGGCAGGAACTGCTTTTGGAGCTGCACAACAGCCTCAGATAGCTAAACTAAGCTGTGAAAGCTGACTGCTCCAAGAGCAGTTACAGCTCTTCAGAGGTCATGCTGGTGGAAAACAA